TTTGAGCACAGCTTAAGGGCAGAGCTAATGTGGCAGGACTGGGACTTGGGAGATGCAGGGCCTAGCCCTGCTCAGTGACGGAGCTCCCTTGGATCAGGACTGCCTCGCAGCCTAGCCAACCTCTCAGGGTTGTAGTGAAGATAAAATGGGAGGGGGTGACTGCACGGGCTCCTTGCAAGAGGCTATCAGTGCCTTGAATAGATAAAATAGCTGTCTGCATTCCTCCCCAGAGCAGTTGCTTGGGTGTGGGATTGCCTGAAGGGAAGGGCAAGGCAGGCCAGGGCAACGCAAGACATCCACCCAGTGGCACGGATCCGTGGATGCCAGAGAGACGTTTCTTGCCTGCTGACTCAGACCAAAGGAGCATCACGTCCAGTGTTCTCTTCCTATGGCGGCCAGGTGCTCAGGACATTCATCTGTGTGGCACAAGGGCAGTGGCACCTTCCCACCCATGTGCCCCAGCAACATTGCCTCTGACACTGGAGTGGCACAGAGCCATCAGGGCGAGTACCCTCAGAATGGCCTTTTCCTCCTCAAATTCATCCAGCCCTGCTGTAAAGCCATCCAGATGGGAAGCCCCAGAGAACTCCGGCTGTTGGGCAAGACAGACATTAATTAAATAAACAAAATAAATAGCTGTCACCGTACCCCCCCTCCCTCCCTCCCTCCCTCCCTCCCTCCCTCTCTCTCTCTCTCTCTCTCTCTCTCTGTCTCTCTCACCTTTCCCCCCTGCTTGTCAGGCCAGGTGAGTGAACGGTGAAAGAATGACTGCCCGCGTTCAGGCACCTTGTCTTCCGATCAGGTTCCTTCATGCTACTGCCCGTCTCTTGCACCCACAAATACCTTCACGCTCCCCGCCGGATGTCAGTGCCACGAGGCTCGTCCAGCCCCTTTCCTCCCTTCTGCCCCCCCCAGCTTCCTTCCCCCACTGGCATTCTCCTCACACTTCCACTGCCCTGCCTTTGGGATCCCGGTTGTCAATTCACTGTCCGTCCTGAACGTCAGCGGCAGGTCATGAGGTGCCTCTGGGCACCGGGGAGCCCTTGGACTCCTTCATGGCATCCTCCTTCCAGCCTCCTTGTTTCATAACACGTTTTCTTGCTGACAACATCCTCATGCCGCCAATCTCTGTGGGTGCCGAAAAATGTAGGTTCAAAGGAGCTGTTTATTGGATGGGCTGCCTTGGCCTTGGACTCAGTCTTTGGGACTGGCTTGTTGCCCTTGGCCTTTGTGGCGGCACCCAGGATGGCTTCTCGGATCGCCTGGTGTTCCCATAAAAAGATCTCCCGTGCCAGATGTGCCCCATATTCAGCCCCCCAGCCCCCGTCTCTGCACTCTGCCCGTCGGGAGCATCCCCCTAACCTCAGCCCGTCTCTGTGCCATTTCTGCCAGAGAATCTGACAACTTCCCCTTCCTTCACAGAAGCTGACACAAATATTCCGGCAGTTGCTCTCCACCATCTTACAGGCATAGGAATGGGTTGGCAGGACCGATTCTTCTCTACCTTACCTCTTCTACTAACTCTTAAAACCAAGCAATGAGGTGGGGTTTTGAAAATCATTTCAGCCTCCCACAGAGGAACTGAGAAACCCCTTCTGGCTAAATGACTTCATGCCCCTTCCATTTCTCAATTTTGGCACATTGTATAATGTGATCAGGACACCCTCCTGGCCCCAGAGCACTGCCATCCACTCAGTTCTGTACCCTTCAGCATGTTTTAGAAGTTTAGACCTCTTCTTGGTGCCGTAGATCTTAATTCTTTGGTGGATTCAGTGTGGATTCACATGGCGGACCCTGAAAGGTGGAGTCTTTATGGGAGCCTGGCTGCAAAACGAACCCGTTTCTGTCATTTTCCTTGGCTTGGATGTTCAAACTGTGGCTTTCATAGAGGATCGCCCAAACTGTGCAGTATTTCTTCTAGTTTGAACTCTTCTAAACTCTTCTGGTTGTTTATGGGACTTGTATTGCTCTGACAGGGAGGAAACATTTCCTGCTAACTAGCCTGAATCTGGGTTGCCACAACTTGAACTGATTATCCCGTGTCCTGCACTCCGGCATCAGCGAGAAGAGATCTCGACCTTCCTCTTTGTGGACCTTTGTGACCTTCCTTTTTATTTACCCAGACTTTTAGTGCTTGAACGATTTTATTATATAATATAGAATTGCTTTTTTGCATATTTTTATATGTTGAAATTATATTATCTAATGTGCTGTTATGCTTTTGGTTTTGTATACCGTCTTGAGATCTGTCTTGGATATAGATGGGGTAAAAAATGTTTTAAACACACACACACACCCCTGTGCTGCTTGCTTTAAACTCCAAAAGAGAAGGCCGCGTGGCTTATCGCCTGTATCTGCCCTGAAGGGTCTGCTGCAACTCATGAGGAAGAATGTTCCTTAGTCTTTGTCAGAGTGAGTCCTGTTTCCTCCTTTGAACTAATACCAGCCTCAAGCCGTTTCTCTTGCAAAACACTCTTTATTGCTTTCAAATGCAAACCATCCTGATGAGTCTCTGAGCATACACAGAGTGGTTTGTTGAGCCCAATGTAGTGATCACATCCCGAAACTCTCCTTACGAGCAAATTTGTGCCCCATCTTTGGGAGGGCCCCTCTAAACGCAGGTGCCCTTAGTCTCCACTTGTGCTCATCTGATTGGGCTTCTCGCCTTGCTGGCCCCTTGCCACGAGATCCATCTCTAGGGGGAGGGATTGACCCACATCCACATGGGGAGCTGAGTTCCTCATGCCCTGCAGCCCCTCCCCCTGGCCATCCACCCAGGCCGCTCCCAGGAGCAGCCCGGCCCTTGGGACAGTCATCTCCTCCTCCTCTGGTGGCATCCCAGGGCCTTGGGCCAAGACAGGTGCTCTAATCTTGCAGAGATGTTCCTCCTCCTCCTCCTCCTCCTCCTCCTCCTCCTCCTCCTCCTCATAGGCTTCTCTGACGCAGCCGGCGTCCTGTGGGAATGCTTGCCCAGGCCTGCCATTCTCCTTGCTCCCAAGAATTGATAGTTAGAGATGGGGGATCTTTGCAAGAAAATATGCTGGCTGGAAGAAGCAGCCTTGCTCCTGTCTGCTTTTGCCTTTAGTCAGTGCAAATGAGGCGACATCTTTGGGAAGTGGTATTTAGATGCTTAAGGGTGGAATCCTTTGCGTGTTTAGGCAGAAGCATCTCACAGGAATCAGAGGATGGCTTCCGTCTGGGGAAGGGAGTAACGTCATCCTCTGGTGTGGCTTTGAGACTCCTAAAAACAGTTGTTTTCACTCTTTGTTCCTCGTTCTTAACTGACTCATCCCAATTCTCTGCTGCATACAAGAAAATGAAAAAGTCACTTTCATGGTGTTATAGACTCAGCCAGACACAGTCCTGAAATCCTGCTTTGGAGATGGTGTCGCAAACGATGGAGGCCCAGCAGCTTAGCTACCTCGTGGGCAATCTCGTTTGTGGTTGTTTTAGGACCGGCCAGCCTCCCCTTTGATGTCCAGTCCTACTGTCAATAAGAAACAACTGGAGACCGTCTGAATGAACTTGCTCAGAGGCCGCACTGGCCAGGTGCATGAAGCCTTGAATGTTACCTGACCCGTGCGTGCAGAAGTGTGTTAACACAGCGCACTTGCAGTGTGTCTGAGATGCAAATCGGACTGCAAACAGAAAGCAGGGGACCATGCTTAGAAAACATGCTTTACTGCTGTAACCTGCCCAGGAGAGCTGTATGGCTAACAGGGCTGGTGAGAAATTTAATAAATTGATAAAACAGTAATGATGACCCAGGGATGCGGTGGCGCAGTGGGTTAAACTGCTGAGCCGCTGGGCTGGTTGATCGAAAGGTCGACAGTTTGAATCCGCAGACAGGGTGAGCGCCCGTGCTCTGTCCCAGCTCCTGCCAACCCTGCAGTTCGAAAGCATGCAAATGCAAGTGGATGAAAAGGTACCACTTCGGTGGGCAGGTAACAGCGTTCCGTGCACCTCGGTGTTTAGTTATGCCGGCCACATGACCATGGAGACTGTCTGCGGACTAACGCTGGCTCTTTCGGCCAGGAAATGGAGATGAGCACTGCCCCTGAGAGTCAGGCATGGCTGGACTTTAATGTCATGGGGAAACTTTTACCTTTTAATTGTAACCCACGTGCCCCCCAGCTGCCTTTGGGCCAGGGCGGACATGTACATGCAATGCTCAAGGCAAGGCAATGTATCAGCAGAGCAGAAAAGAAGATGCTGATTTGCATGGAATTTGCAGGTGCAGTTTTATTCATTTTGATGGCAATTTTTGAAGTGTAATCAAAACGGGGAGAAATGCAGAGCATCTCAGCCTAGTGGGGGAGATGGTGATCAGGGAGACCTTCTTGCACCCATCATGTCCACCATGGGCTTATCCTGCCCACATTAGCATGTAACTCCCTTAAACTCTGCCTAGCAGAAGCCAAGACTTCCAAAGGCTGGGGTGCCAGGCTGACATGCTTTCTGGGGGTGGGGTATGTTCTTGCATGTTCCCTACCCCATTCACAGCTCTTCCTCTGGGCCTCCTCCAGCATCTGCCTCCGTGTACCCAACGTGTATTGCCATTCATATGGAGCTGCTCTGCTTGTAAAGCCAGGCCTAGCTAGCAGATCCTGGTCTTTAAGCCCCAGAGCGTATTCTTTGTGGTTGCCAAAGAAGCAAAGGCCCGGCTTGCATCATTCCATTGCTCAGCATGTTTTTGCCGCGTGGTGTCTGGATTTTTTTCCTTGACCACAAAATTGCCAACTCAGTAGAGCCTATAAGTCTATAAAAAGAAGTGCAGAGTTAAAAATTCTGTGCATCTTCTGAAAATGACATCTCTGATGACCGGGTGGAGGCCTTTGCCGCTGCCAATTCTTTTCTCCCCCAGGTTCAGCAACATTTATATTCCAGGCTGGTCCTACTTACCCTCTCAATGTGTTCCACTTACACTGCTTGACTCCTGTGTTAGACCTGCCAGTCCTTGAGCTTCTGAAATTTCTCCAGAATTTGGCTGTGCTGCAGCAAGAGATTGGGAAGGGTCTTAAAGGAAAGTGGGGAAAGAGCAGAGAGAGAGAGAGCAAGGAGAAGGGGAGACTCGCCGGCCGAATGCTGTGACCCCAACTGTGCTTTTCCTCTGCAGGTTCCTTAGAAAGAGAGTTTGGACGGCATGCAAAGTAGTGAAATATCTGCAGAGAGCACTGATGATCCTCTTAGTAGTGGCCTCCCGGAAAAACGACAGCCGCGAATAGTAGTTATCGGTGCCGGGCTTGCAGGCCTCTCGGCGACAAAAACTCTTCTGGAAGGTGGTTTCACGGATGTGACTGTCCTCGAAGCATCTGACCGGATTGGAGGCAGAGTACAAAGCGTGAAACTCGGTAAGGAGACCGTTTCGGTGGGTTGCTTCAGCTCGGCCTTGCTTTGCACGAGGCGGTAAGAAGCTGCCCGGTGCGGTTTAGCCCCACCACCAGCCGTGCACTTGGGTGTTCAGCCATGCTGGCCGCGTGACCACAGAGACTGTCTGTGGACAAGCACTGGCTCCCTCGGCTGGGAAACGGAGATGAGCGATCGAGCGATGCTCGATTCCCTGGCAGCCCATGCGGAAGCTGCAAGTTGCAACAGTTCTCTTGCTGCTTGGCTCTGGAGCGTCTAAAGTTGACTCCCTCTGAACCTCAAGTTTCCATCGTTCCTTACCTTTGGTGGCCCGTACCATGGCTTGGTGGCCAAAACGCTACCATCCAAGCCCAAGAGAGGTATTAGTACTCTAATTTTTTAACAAGTTTGGGAAAACTAACTCTTAGGAGAAAAACAGACTGGTTTAATTTCTTTAGCGGCTTTTCAGCCGGCTCTGCCACCCTTCCAAATATCCCACGAAGGGTCTTTGTTTTCCACAATCCTTTGTTTTTCACCCCTGGTGCTCTTGCTTCAGTGAATCTAAAACTGCCGTTGGCCGTGCTGCTCAGCAAAAATAACAGCTCCTCTGCATTTGTGTCCCTATAAATAGTTCAGATTCCAGAGCGGGAGCTCAGTGAAAACAAAAAAGTCTTGTGACCTCTTAAACTGGTAGCAGATTTATGGTGGCAGTCGCGTCCTGGACGGCAGCTTCCTTCATCGGATGCGCCAAGTGATCCTCTCCATCGGTCGATGCGTCTCTAAACGCGGGTAGCAGGCATGTGTGAGCTCTCGCAGGTGTGTGTGTGTGTGTGTGTACAAAGCAAAGCCCCAAAAGTCATAAACCTGGTGAGCCCTGCCTAGAAGCATCACAAACTGTACCTCTTTCCCTTCATGGCCACCCTGGCTGGGGATGCTGGGGACTGTAGTTCACCATGCTTGGAATGCAGCAGAGGAGAGGGCTGTTTTATGCTTTCATCCTTTCTGTCCATGTAACGCACTCTCCTTGGGGCTCCCCCTGAAGACGGTCTGGTACTTCAGGTGGTATAGAATAGAGCCACGAGGCGACTTACTAGGGCTGGTAGACAAGATCACATAAAGCCAGGCCTAAATTAACTTCACTGGTTAGTGACTGAAGTCTGGGGTCAATTTAAGGGGTTAACCGTGATATGCTTTGCACAAATGTTGTAGGACCTGGATAGCTGGAGGATCTTCTCCTTCCATAGACACCAGAGACCTTTCAGATCTTCTGCCAAGGTCTGTCTCTGGAAGCCCTGTTTGAAGGAGGCTGGAAGAGCGGCTGCCGAGGGAAGGGCCTTCTGTGTGGTAGCGCCCCGGCTGTGGAACCTGCTTCTAAGAGCGGTGCGCCTGGCGCTGGTGCTTTACTCGTTTGAGCACCGGGCCAAAACCTTTTCATTCACCCAGTATTTTAATAGTTGAATGGGTTTGTACGTTGTATTTTATAGATTTCAGACTGTGTTTACTCAGGCGCCAGTATGGTTTTTGTCCTTTTATAAGCTGTCAAGGGATTGAGTTTGGATATAAGATGGGGTAAAAGCGTTTTAAATGAATAAATAATAAAGATATATCAGCCAATGCATCATCGAGTGGGAGGGTGTGACTTGGTGTCCTGCAACAGCAGGGGTTGGACTCGATGGCCTTCATGGCCCCTTCCAGCTCTACTATTCTGTGATTCTATGATCGTACTTTATCCCACATGAAATCTGCTAATTTTTCTGGCGCTGTGCTTGCCTCCCCCCACCCCCTTTCCCTTTGCAGCAGCGGACGAAGACAGCTGCCTCTTTGGAAGGAGTCAGAGCTGTCTCGGTGAATTTTCTAATCCTTTAGAAATCCTTCAAAATGTGCCCCGTAAATTGGTTACGTGCAAGCAGATGCTGTGGCAGTTCCACAAGTCTTTCAGGCGGAGGTGCAGAACCGCTTTCAGGCCAAGGCCGACTCTCTCGGGGGCCACATTCCAGCGGTGGACTGAGCCAAAGGCCAAAGAGGCAAGGCCCGAATCATGGGCATGTTGCGGCTTAGTCTTCCATCAGGGACTAAGCCCCAGGAGAGGCGGTCTGGCCAGTGGAGGGCAGGTTTGGCCCCCGGGCCTGAATTCACTCCCCTGCTTTAAGCTCTTGGGCTCTTTTGTTATTTATCTGTTGTCTTGAGAGCTGAAAGAAAGCTCCAAGCTCCAATGTGAGCTGAGGGTCAACTGCTAGGGAGCAAAAACACGGGGGGGGGGGGGAGCAAGTCCCCCTCACCACCAGAGGCAACCCGGGAGGGACGGAGCATGCCGTCTGTGGCAGCGTAGGAAGGGAACATGAGATCCTGGAAGAGGGAACGGGCTGCTGGCAATTGCAAGTGCTTTGCACAGCCGTGTTTTTGTCGCAAGCCCGATACGTAGCGCTGATGTGCTGGGCCCATTTCTTTTGGCAACCCAGAGCTGGCTTAGAGCAGATCCTTTGTTCTGATCCACCAGGGCAGGTCTGATGCTTGCTTATTTATTTATTAGATGTACCCTACCCTGCGCTGCAGCTCCTGCACTCAAATTTGTGGGTTGAACCGCTTGCCCCGTTCCTACCATCTTGATTTCCTTTTGAGACATGTTTGTTTGTTTATTCCATTTTTATACTACCTAATATCTGAGGTTCTCTGGGCAGCTAGCATAAGTTTTGCATAGAACTTCGCTATCTGTCAAAAGGCACACCGTCCTGAACTTCTCTGCTTCCACCTTCTGAGCCCCAGTTTTCGGACTTCATGGTTCCTACAATATATTTTGGAGGCATCTCTGTTTTCTTCTGTCGTTTCTCTCCTTGAATGAAAAAGGAAGAATAACTCCAGGCTGTTTGCAAACCCCACTCATGCAAACAAGACCCCTACTGCCTGACGATGGGCACAGAACGTTGCTGATTTTGGAAATGCAGAGTGTGGATTGTGTGGGTAGACAGTGCAGCTGGATCGGTGGGCATGGATTCTCAGAGGCCCAGGCGCAAGGGGAATGGATTTCTGCTTCCGTAAAGGCAGGTCTCGGATTTCTGTCACTTCATACCCTCTCTCAGTGGCTGTGATCCCCTTAAAATTAGAAGGGTCTTGTCAGAAAATGGAACAAGTGGCAGCTTGGGGGTCTGTGCATCAAAGAACCTTGCCGTGCTGTGCAGTTGTGCATAAATGCTGGTATGTTTGTACTCTTGCACTGGGAGCTTCCTCTGGGGTTCCCATCTATATATAAATGGCATAGTGCACAATGCATTGATTCCCATCGAAGTGAGCGGAAATCAAACTCCACCTTGAAATGGTTTGGTCGAAGTTAGTTTGTTTAGGGGCCAGTTGCTTTATGAATACCTGGATGGAGAGAAGGAGGAAGATGTCCTAGATCAAATCAAGCCAGAGCTTAACCCTGCCAGCAAAAAGGACAAAACTGAAGCTGTTGTACTTTGGGCACATCCTGAGAAGGCCGAACTCCCTGGAGGAGACAGTCATGCAAGGGGAAGTCGAAGGCAGAAGAAATGGAGGAAGACCAAATATGAGATGGTTCGATTCCATAAAGAAGCCCCAGCCTTCAGTTTGCAAGAGCTGAACCGGGCTGTCAAGGGCAAAACATGTTGGATGGAGCCCATTCAGAGGGTGGCTCTAAGTCAGAAATCTTTTCTTTGGCCACATACTTAGTCGGTGTTGTGCGTTTGCGCTCTGGCAAGATTCCCAGGTGCGCATGAGAAGTTCATCATTTTGGTGGGACAGATAGCAGAGGGTCTGAGGATGATGGGGAGCTGGCTGAACCAGACAGGGCTCAGAGCTTAAACTCTGAAAACTTGGAATTGTTGCAACGGACAGTCTGAGCCAGTCTCTCTGTACCAGACTGAGCCTGCTCTGGATGTAAGCAGCTCAAGGGCACCCATGGGGCCCAGTTCCCCTGCCTTTGGGAAGGAAGGACCAAAACATCCGGAGAAAGGAGATTTGGGGATTTGGGAATGGGTAGTCTCTCAGATGGAGAGTTCCCGCCTCCTGAGGAATTGGACCAAAGGACCCGCCGCTACAGCTGCAATTTGTTTGTTCGTTTAAAACTTTTGTATACCGTCCCATCACAGACGCCTCGGGACAGTTCACAATAACAACAATAAAATAAGATAAATATAAAAGTAAGTAGCACAGCGTCCAATGTTAAATGTAAAACCACAGGTTAAGATAAATTAGCCATTAAAATAGCGGGAAAATAGAAAGGTTTTTACCTGGTGCTGAACGGAAAGAAGCGTTGGCACCAGGCCAACCTGGCGGACCTCTCTGGGGAGCGTGTTGCACAGTTGGGGAGCCACCACAGAGAAGGCCATCCAGTTTGGGGCTCGGAGTGCAGAACGCAGGCGTGCCCGGTTCCTAAGTGCCCCTCCCTCCAGAGACAGATCTGAAAGGCTCATCAGCAAAGCTTTGGGTGAAGGGGAGCAGAGAGAGTTCAACTTCTCACTTTGTGCATGCTCAGAGACTTGCATTTGCTTGGAGACTTCTGTGCAGAATACAGAAGAAGTGCCGGGGAGGGAATGCCGAGCTCACGACGGCCGAGGGCACTCTTTTCGTCTCCCTTTTCGTCCTTTTTCGCTGAGCCCTGACATCACGCTCTAGAACAGTTGATAAACACGCAGCAGTAAATTAAAACTTGGACATCTGACAGGCTTTCGTTAGGGAAGCGGACAAGAACGGATGCCCAACAAGTCCAGCATCCGGCTTTTCAATGGAGAAACACAGACGCGGCTAAACTCTTGGCACTGGCCTTGGGATGGGAAATGGGCCATAGACCGCCGATACGCTGTGTTAAAAATACTCCCCTTCCCTGCGTGTGCTGCCAGACAGGAGGGAAATGCTCAATATTCCAAGCCCTTAGGGGGCCATCATGTCTCTCAACACACCTGTGGAACATTTCCTGGTTGTGGTCTTAGAGGGAGAGAGGGAGAGCACATGGGATCCAACCCTGGCATGCCCATCCCGATTTCTTGTGCCGACTCTGCACATTTCCTCCTTGGGAAAGGGCCTGGGGGTCTGCGCTGTGGGTCCTGCATTCCTGCGGGAACACAAGCCCCGGGGTCGTCTGTGCAAAATTCAGACTTCTTGCAGATCCCAGGGGTGTGAATTGACCCAGGGCACCAAGGTGTGTTTGCGTGCAGGCCTCTTTGGAAAACAGCAGTGGCTGCTTGTTTATTTATAGCTTTTCTGTGCCGCCCTATTCCAAAAGCCTCAGGATGATAATACAAGGCAAAACACAGCATCGTAAATCCTCGGATAAAACCCAAGTAAAACAACCATTAAGATTTAAACTGTTGGGAAAATAGATAGGTTTTGCCCTGGCACCAAAAGGAATAGAGTGCTCTGTAACGGGTGCTACCGCAGAGAAGGCCCTTCCTGGGTAGCCAATCCTTTGATCTTCAAGGAGGGCTCCTGAAGAAGGACCTCGCACCCAGGTCTTAGGGTTGGTATTGAACCAAAGGTCCACCTGGTCTGGCATTCTGGGCTTCCTGGCCACAACTCAGGAAACCCACAGGCAGGACATGAATGCCATCGGGACTGAAGTGCATAGAGATGTTGATGGCGATATAGCTGTCAGGACCGGTAGCCACTGATCGCCTTCTCCTCCGTGAATTTGTGGAATTCCTCTTTCAAAGCCATCCAGATCAGCCATTCCTGCCTCTTGAGGCAATAAATTGTACCTGCAAATGAATGGAGAATATTGATGGTATGCTCACAGTGAGGAAATGGACAGGGGAAGAGGTGGAAACGGGCTTGTCGGTTTAAATTAACACATGAGAACCAAGAGAAGAAACAAGGCAACTTTTGTATAATCAGTTTGATTCTGTTTATTGATTCTTGGAGGAAGAATTCCTTGCCTCCCAAAACACAGAGGGTTTTTTTAATGTCCTCAACCCAGGGAGTATTGGATTTGTTTTTAAAATTGTAAGCAGTTTCCCTGCTGTCTTCCCCTTGCCTTTTGATATATTGCAAGGGAAATTAGTACTTCTTCCCAGCCTGGGGAGCAAAATCCATATGAAAACAGGTAACGGCAGCCTGCAGGTCAGATTCACGTAACACTGTTTGTGTGAGCATGACTGTCAGTGGGTGCCCACATGGAGGCGAGGCGGTTCTCCCTTTGTGCTTCTGAGCAGGCCTTTCACTCCTGATTGAATGTGTGCATTTAAGGCTTGTGATTAACTTCACACTTGGACGCTGGATTCATCTGCTTTGAGGCTTATTGTTGGAGGAAGATTGGTTAATTGACTTTCCGAGGGTCCAGGCAGTCTTGGCTTTTTTTAGCTTTGCTTGTCTCTTTTCTGCAGCAACTGCTGCTGTAGATAGAAGAGAACAGGGGCCGTTGGGATTTCTTCTTGGAGCTTCAGCAGTGACCCTAAATGATTTCAGAGGGACTGATGCTGTTGTGGAAGGCCAGGCGCTTGTCTTGCTTGCAAAGCAAGGGTCCAACTTGGCTGGGTGACCCTGTATATCAGGGCTCGCAACTGAGCCTGGTTTTTGCCTGGGGGCAAGAGGGAAAGCTGCATTCAAAGTGTGGTTTTCTTCCCACTGGACAACTGGTCCCAGCCTAGCTATTCCTGCAAACTGCCTTTGAAGCACCCCTGAGTTTAAACAGCAGCTGAAAGGAGGAAAATGTGGTAGGAGGAGGACAGAGATAGAATTTTTTAGCATGCAAGTGTTCTGCAAACATCTGTTACTTGTCCCATCCTGGCTGTGCTTTTTCCCCTTTAAAGGCCACTCCTGTCTTTTCCTTCTAGGATTCTAACTTGGAACTGTCTCTCCCCCTACCCCGCTTTGCAGAAAACGCGACTTTTGAACTGGGAGCTACGTGGATCCACGGTTCCAATGGAAACCCAGTCTATCATCTAGCAAAAGATAATGGCCTACTTGAAGCTACGACAGACGACGAGAGAAGCGTGGGCCGTATCAGCCTCTACTCCAAGAATGGGGTGGCTTATCACCTCACAAACAAAGGTCAAAGGATCCCGAAAGATGTGGTTGAAGAATTCAGTGATTTATACAACGAGGTTTGTACTCAGCAGCGTTTGAGGCTTGTCTGGGTAGACACACCTGGCGTACGATACGCAGGCAACAGAGGTCGGCCAGCTGGGTCTCCCAGCTGTTTGAGACTACATGTCGCAGAACCTCTGAGCATTGGCCATGCGGGCCTGGGGGTGACCGCCGCAATAATCGAAAGCATCTGGGGGGACACCAGGTTGCATAAAGGCCAGAGAGACACTGCCATGTCTTCCAAATATATTTTAAACTAGCAGGCACTGAGCCTTCGGCACTGTCTTTATCTCAGGGTCACATCATCAGCTCAGAAAGGTTTGCTTTTCTCCAGCAGCCAGCAAAGGCCTCTAGAAGGCCAGAACCTTTCCCATCCCTGTTCTCTCTTTTCAAATGGAGGCGTCAAGGACTAAACCTGGGCCATTGGCCTGCAAAACGCCGTGTTTTTTCCAGGCTGCAGCCCCTTCTTGGTCAGGGCACTTGGCAAGGCTGCTTTGGGGAACTTCGCGGAATGCTCAGGGCTTCCTAATGATCTCTCAGGATTATTGGTGACACGCACCATCACCAGGCTAAGACAGGCCAACTTCTGGCTTTCTTTTTCATGTCTGGTGATGTGCAGCATGGTTGCGCGCTTACTCGGAAGTCTGCTCCTCCAGGTTCTAAGTCACTTACTCCCCCGTAAGTCTGCATCTTAGCCTCTTAAGGGGTTTCGAGCTTGGAGTTCCTCCATCTGCCTGCCTGTGATGGGATTCGGTATAGGAAGTGCTTCGGATCTGCTAGATCGTCTTAGAACCTTCCTCATGTGACTTAAAATGTTGGGAGTAAAGCCACACAGCTGATTTAGGAACCTGCTCCTCTCTGCTTTGGACTTTTCAGCTGTTGGCTTGGACACATTTTTTCTTTTGCCGGCTGGGCACAAAGAGGACACAAAAGGCACAGGGGAAAGTGCGGAGGCTAATTTAGCCTTGGCCACTCATTAGCGTCGCTCGAATGCAACCTTGCCGGTCTGGCAAGCATGTGATCTGCTGAAGGCTGGCGAGCTGCTTACGGGAGCCGAGAACCAGGCAAGGCTTCTGGCAGCTTTGAGGTGCTTTTGGCTCGCGGTGGTTAGAGCTCTTCGAATCACAGGGTGCTGGCCGGACTCGCTTCTGCATTTTGCACAGGCCTGCGGTGCGGCAAGAGCGCAGCTAGCTGCAGGATGCTGGGAATTGTGGTCCAGCGCATCTGGAGCGCCCCAGGTTGGGGAGAAGGCTGTTTTAGTGGGGAGCATCAATGGCAGGCACCTGTCCCTTTGGCATGACTCTGTGGTGGCAGAATCAAGGTCACGCCGCCCCGCCTTGCGGAAGGGCCACCCACCCAAACGTGTTGCCGAAGCAGAATATGGCATTCTGGTTCCAGGGGCTGATCGGTTGGTTGGGTAGCACAGCCTATCGATTTAGCTTGCGGCACAGTCTCTGTGGCACATCAAGATGTTCAAGGAAGCTCAGTAGGGGTGCCAAGGATGTATTAGCAGAAGTGGCTTTAGCATTACAAGACCTGTGGGAAAGTTCCTCATGTTTCCAGTGAAGCCCAGGAACATCATTCCTGCATGGAGGAGCAGAAGCAAACAGAACTGAATCTGGGTTGTCTCACTTCAGATTGCCAGTGAGGGTTCACGTGGGTGAATCTGCAATCTCCCTGCATACAGAAAACTAGCATTTCAGGAAGAGGTTTTCTCAGTCAGCTTCTCCCTGATGTGCTAGATTTCCGCATGCAGGGAAACGTGGCTTTGAGAGTGGGGGTGGGGTGATCATGGGCCAGTCACTATCTCAACTGCCTGATGTCCTCCAGATCCTTTGGACTTTGGCTCGGGTGACCAAGTCAGGAATTTTGGGTGAACAACAGGAATTTTGGGGGCTGTAGTCCCAACCATCTGGACAGTGCCAGATGGAGAAAGGCTTGGAGCAGAGATGACAGTAATCTTACTTTTTATGGGTAGCACCTTTGAACATTCAGAGTGCTTTGTTATGTTGTTCCCGCAACAACCCCGTAAGGTAGGCCAGTGTTGTCACTTCTGTACAGGAGAAGGAAAGCTGAGACTTCCTTAATTGCAGATCAGCCTCCTAGTCACAATACTTCACTGGCTCTCGGCAGGTATTTCCCTGCCAGGTCAATCTGTAACTTTTCCCCAAGGGGCAGTTACCGGCCTCTGCTGTGCTGAGCTCAGAGCAATCCTTGCCCCGAGGCTGCAAAACCGGAGACATTCTCTTTGCAAAGTACACCTGCCTTGCCATTTCGCAGCCACAAAGCCACTCTAGAAGCCCTCGAGTGAGTTTGAAAGCTTAGCTTCTGCTCACATTAAGGAAGTCGCCCATCACCAGGCAGCCGTCTCTCCTGATGCCTTGTCATGGGGTCAGGAACTGGGCAAGGCGACCTCCTCCTCTTGACCCCCCCCCCCCGGTCCCATCCATCCTCCCAGTGTGGAGGGACGTGGAAGTGGGAAGCAGAACAATCGTGGTCCTCTGCTAATCGTGGGTCTCTGCTCTGGGTTGTCACCTCCTCTTGGTGCACCTCTCCCAGGTCTATAACCTGACTCAGGAGTTCTTCCAGCGGGGTAAACCAGTCAATGCCGAGAGCAAGAATAGCGTGGGAGTCTTCACGCGAGATGTCGTGCGCAAGCGCATCAAAGCTGATCCGGATGACTCGGAGGCGGTCAGGAGACTGAAGCTCGCCATGATTCAGCAGTACCTTAAGGTGAGGCTTGGGGTGTGAGCGGGGGTGCCGTAGCCCCCCAGGGTGTGGGCAGATCTCTCCCTCTGCCGGGAGATCCCTGGTGGACTTGCATTAGATCAGCTTCCTGGCTCCCAGCAGCGATGGTAGGATGGCTCAGAACGATTTCTTGGGCCCAGAATCCTTTGCTGCTAGTCCCTTTTTATTGTGAGCGTCAGTAGGAGCGGTGCGGAAGGGATTCAGCGAAATGCAAGGCCGATTTCGCAAGCCTGACACCTGCCCTTCTTTGCCATGGCGCTGCCTTTCCCAATCTGGTGCCCTCCAGCTGGGTTGGATTACAACCTCCATCATCCTGTAGCCAGGGAAAGGCTGCTGGGGCACCCAGGCTGGAAAGAGCAAACCGGCACAGAATCTCTGTATTGACACCTTCCAGGTGTGTGTTATTTCAGGCCTCGCCTGTCGTCGTATCTAGGGGAGTCAGGTCCCCGCCTGTCGTGAGGTCGTAACTCACGTCTCCAATTAACTCACACAGCAGCCGGCCATAAAACTAAAGACTCTTATTGCTGCTTCCTACACGATTTACGATGCAACAGGTAAGCTCTAATGGGGAACTCCCAGCAACGCAGTTGCCCCCTCCTTTCTGAAGTCTCTGAGAAGCCCACGTGGGATTAGCTTTTCCCGTCACGTCTTTCTGCTTGCGGGCGGGACAAACCTCTGTCCTGTCTTCTCAATTGTTCCGGACACCGTAAACTCCTCCTAAATTGAGCGTCTGCCAAATTCACTGTTACCTCTTCTTGATCTCCTGAACTCTGCCCAGCAGCTTCAGAGTCAGGAGGCGGGGGTGGGGGGGCAGCTTGTTCAAACACCTCAGAGTCAGGATGAGGAGAAGCCACCCGTTCAGAAGCCTCATCGCTAGGCTGTGGGGGGGGGGGGGCTATTTGCTCAGCGGTCTCAGAGTCAGGCGGCAGAGGGGCTGTTTGGTTACTGGGCCCCAAGTATCAGCCCCCTTGTTCCAGTGTCTGATTCTCATTGTGAATGTTTGACTCTTTCTCGCGAGTCGACGTCTCTGTCGAGCCGTCAGGCACGACACCACCCTGAAACCATGTGCTTACTGAGTAGAGTCGTCCCATGCCCTTGCTCCCGTAAGGAACCCGTGGCGCTTTACGCAATCCTCCAGCTTGCCACATGATCCTCACAACAACCCAGTGAGGTAGGCTGGGCTGAGCATCAGTGACTGGCCCAAGGTCACCCAGTGAACTTCATGACTGAGCGGAGATTAGACCCTGGATCGTGGCCCAAAACGCTGACCACCGGGAAACGGCGGCTCTCCGTTGGCCGGTGCGGCAACTTCCAAGTTCTCCCAGGAAGCATCCTCTCTGCTTGCAGCCGCTGCATTGCCGACTCCTGCCTGCACAAGAGGTGCAGTTACCGCAGCGTTCCTCGCGCTTCGAGCGTCAAGAGACATGCTGGGGTCCCTGTCGCCAAGTTGCCTCATGCGCAGAAAAAGTGCGCCCATGCACGTCCTCCTCTTTGCATGCAAGGGAAGGGAGTGACCCCGGTCGCCTTTCTCTCGGTACCCAGCAACGTTCTGTGGCTCGAAGCGGTTTGATCTTGGTGCACCTCTCTCCCATGCTCGGATCCAGGCAGGGAAACATGCAGGAAGGAATGGAAAGCCACAGTGAAAGGGGAGATGTGCATGTGGGAGGTTTTCCTCCTCTGTGCTCCCCTGTTCCTGGGAAATCTGGTACCCGCTGCTCCCCCTGCCCCACAACTGAGATGCGAACAAGGCAGAGTGCAGGTCGGACGCAACGGCCCTCCTTTTGTAACTTTTCAGGCCTTAGTCTCACCCTAACAGTGCAAGAAATTACCCTGGCCAGATCCAGGTGGAAGCTGGTCTAATCTTTCATTTGTCTGTGGTTTGCTAGTTATTTCTGGGAACCTGAGCATGGATCCTCTTGTCTTTTTTCCTGGGTTTGGGGGTCCATTTGCCGTCTCTGCCCCCGCATGCAGGTTCGATTTATGTTTATCTAGCCATAATCCCTTTTAACGGACTTGTAAGCTCTTGGCCACTGCTGTGTTATAATCATTTGTTTGTTTCCTACATACCTGTCTGTGCTCCTAAATAGCCAAGCTGTCTGGGCAGTTTGCAGCATGATAAAATACCAGACCTGTAACGTTCAAAATCATAACAAGAAAAATCACTGGTACAACTACCAGAACTTGATTTAAAAAAAAAAAAACACTAAAAAGCCCCATCATGTGCTATAAACGGGTGGCCAAACCGAGGTGCACGAGCCGCATACGGCTCTTTGAATTTATTTTGTGGCATATCACTTGCTGTGCTCAAACACCTGACTTTTTTAAATAATAATAATTATTACATTTTTATACTGCCCATAGCCAAAGCTCTCTAGGCAGTTGACAGCAATAATCATAGAATCATACACTCAAGTCACCCATCCCACTTCTGCCCAGGCCTGACCCTGCTTAGCTTCCAAGATTAGGCAGGATCAGGCACTTCAGGCTACATGGAAGCTACATTTACCATATGAGGCTCTTTGGCTGAGCGAGTGCCCCCCCCCCCCCCCCGTGTTTGAGAGTAGAGGAAAATCCCAGCCTGGGCCCAGGAAGATGGCACTGTTGGCAGCAGATGGACTTCTCAGTGGAGAGCTTGCCACTGTTGTTCACGGAGGGGGCCCCCACCAAGGAGGCCACCCGCCTTCTCCTCCTCCAGGCCTCTGTCAGAGGAGGACTTCAGATGGGTTCGCCCCAGGAGAGACATGGGGTGTCATCCCAAGCTAAATAAGGCTTTGTAGGGCTGAAGGACCATCTGGAATTGAGTTGGACCAGGATCAGGATTCTCTGCCCAGCTCTTTCCTGCAAAAGGTGCAAAATGGACACGGGTCTGGAATGCAGAGTTCCTTGTTTCTCCGAAGCAACAGGCTAGAAAGAGCAGAAAAGAATCTCATGCAGGCTTAAGAAGAGAGAGCGCTTAATGTCTCTCCCAGTCAAATTGCGCCAAAAGTAGACTCACGCCTGGCGTTTCTCCTTCTTCGGCCTCACCAGCTGGGGGACAAATCGCTCAGGCTGTTTTCTGCCCGCTCTTCCCCAGGTGGAAAGTTGTGAGAGCAGTTCCCACAGCATGGATGAGGTCTCACTCAGTGAATTTGGAGAGTGGACGGAAATCCCCGGGGCCCATCACATCATCCCGTGTGGCTTCGTGAAGATCATAGAGCTCCTGTCCTGCTCCATCCCGGAGTCGGTCGTTCAGCTGAACAAGCCAGTCAAGTGCATCCACTGGAACCAGCCCATCAGCACGGAGATCGAGCGCGTGGCGGACCACAACAGTGACCGCAAGGGAGGAGAAGACGTGGGCTCCCACGTCCTCGTGGAGTGCGAGGACTGCGAGTTCATTTTGGCCGACCACGTCATCGTGACGGTGTCCTTGGGAGTCCTGAAGAAGCATCACGAGAACCTGTTCCATCCCCAGCTGCCAGAGGAGAAGGTCCTGGCCATTCAGAAGCTGGGCATCAGCACCACGGACAAGATCTTCCTGGTGTTCGAGGAGCCCTTCTGGAGCCCCGAGTGCAACAGCATCCAGTTTGTCTGGGAAGATGAGGCAGAGGCAGAGAGCCTCACCTATCCGGAGGAGCTGTGGTACAAGAAGATCTGCAGCTTCGACGTCCTCTACCCGCCGGAGCGCTACGGCCACGTCCTGAGTGGCTGGATCTGTGGGGAAGAGGCCCTGATCATGGAGAAGTGTGATGACGAGACTGTGGCGGAGACCTGCACGGAGATGCTGCGGAAGTTCACAGGTCTGCGCCCCCTTGCCTTCCCAGGGAGCTCGAGGGGTGGGGCGGAATGGGTTGCGACTGAGTCGCGCACCTCTGTGGTTTAGCCCTGCCCTGAAATAACTGGGTGGATCTGGGCCCCTGGCTCTGCCTCTGCCCTTATCGGCAGTTTGTGCCCCTGCAGAGATGTGTCCCAGCAGTGATGCCCTGGAGATGTGGGGAGCCGCAGCTGAGACCCTCGAGGTGCAAGGTGTTCCGATACTCAGCCCCAGCCCCGTCCCATTTGGGGCTGTTCTAAGTTTTGTTCGAAGGACTTCTGCAAGTAGGTTTTACTGAAGCTCCTCGGGCTGGTTGCAGAGTGAAAACCATAAAATTGTTGTTAGTCGCAAAGTTGTGCCTGACACTCTGCGACCCCATGGACAACATTCCTCCAGGCTCTCCTGTCCTCCACCATCCCTCCGAGTCCACCCACGCTCACCCCCACTGCCCCAGTGACTCCCCTGGCCACTTCATCCTCTGCCGTCCCCTTCTTCTTTTGCCATCAATCGTTCCCAGCATCAGGAACCAGTAAACCATAAAATACAGGGCCATAAAATACAACGCAGTGGCTTAAAGCTACGTACAGTAGAAAAAGAAACGAGAAACCAAATGTAAGTCCAGCAACAGTGCAGGCTTCCTGGAGGAGGAGGAGGAGGAGGAGGAGGAGGAGGAGGAGGAGGGCCTTCTCTGTGGTGGCACCCCGACTGTGGAACACGCTCCCCAGAGAAGTTCACCTGGCACTAGCACTTTTTTCCTTTCAGCGCCAGGTGAAACCCTTTTATTCTCCCACTATTTTAATTGTTAATTGTCTTAATTTGGGGTTTTTATATGTATTATTGGATGCTGTGCTACTTCTATTTTTTAATCTTATTTTAGTGCTTTTGTTGTAAACCATCCCAAGATGTCAGTGATGGGATGGTATATAAAAGTTTTAAATAAATAAATAAGTAAATAAACTTCAAATACAGTAACAGACATAAATAATGGGATGAAAAGGCCTGGGAAAATTAAAAAAGAGCACAGTGTAGCTGTCACTGGGTAAATCCATCTGGGAAACTCATTCTGTAACTGAGAGAAGCTTTGAAACGACTGCAAGAGGATCAGCGCCTCTGAGTCAGACTTCCAAGACGGAATCACACAGGCCTCGAATGTTGACTCAGACGTGACCTTCAGAGCAGAAGCCCAGGTTCACTCTGGCCTGGTGTCACGGAAAATACTGTTTGTATGGAGACCGTTAGACAATTCGTTGTAAGTCTCTCTCTAGGTCATGCCCTCTTTGCACGCATTTGATGTCTATTTTCACAAGGTCAGCGTAAAGTTCCTAGTCAATATGAAGGCGTGTGTGGGCTTTTCTGCTGCCGAGGAAGCTTTGGTTTGCTGTGATCGTTTTAGTAGGATTAGCCAAACGGTGGTCGCAGTTTCTCACTGAGGCCTCCATCAAAATATGGAAACTTCACGAACACAATTCTGGCTGATACCCTTTCTTTGAAGGCTCCCTTTGGATAGCTGGGTTTCTGGTTCCCAGAGATGCACCCTTTCTTCGTATTTGTTTCCCAATGGTTTTTTTAAAATTATCGTTACTTTTATAAAATGCCTCTCCAAAGAGTCGACAATAAAAGCAGTTTCTTTCTCTCTTGGTGTAGGGAATCCAGACATTCCAAAACCTCGGCGGATCCTCCGATCCTCGTGGGGCAGTAATCCGTATTTCCGTGGCTCCTATTCCTACACTCAAGTTGGGTCGAGTGGAGCGGATGTGGAGACCCTTGCGAAGCCCCTGCCTTATTCGGAGAGCTCCAAGACGGTTGTGAGTATTCCCCGGAGTTGAGCTTTTGCCAGGAGGTGAGAATAGGGAAGCGGATGGCAGCTTGAGAAATGTGGGCTGAATCTTCCGATCTCTAACCGTGCAAACACATCATTGCAAAACATGTCGCCGTGGAATGGAGTCCAGCAAAAACGGCCAGTGCACGCTGGGTCTGGTTGGCCGCCAAAACCGTCATCCATTCCCTGGACACGGTCTGGGGTGTGGGGTTTGTTGACATAAGGAAGGGATGCAGACTCCTCCTTGTTCCGAGTGCAGCGATGCATTTTGGAGCAGCTCCCGGGACTGTGTCCCAGTTGGGGTGGAGCAGGCCCCAAAATCCCAGCCAGTGTTAGCACCGCTTTGTTCCCAGCAGCAAGTAAGCCTTTTAAATCGAGGGTTGGGGGAGTGGGAGAGCCAGGAGACCACCACACGCCTGGGAACCGGGGCCAAGGCATGGCCCTTGGAGAACCCTGGGGACCAGTTTGCTGCCCCAGGACAGGTTTGCTGGGCCTGAGGCTTAACAACCAAGGTTCAGTTTGGATGCCAGGAAGCACTTCTTGACAGTCAGGACCCCCAGGGTGTAGAATGGGCTTCCTGGGGAGGTGGTCGGAGCCCCATCAGTGAGGGTGTTCAAGGATAGGCTGGACGTCCACATGGTGGGCATGTCGTGAGCAGAGCCGGCTGGAGCCGGGGATCAGACTAGATGACCCAGGAGACCCTTCTGACTTGCTCGGTTTCTGTGTTTCTAACCCTGGCCTAGGGCTGTTGGCTTTGCAGACTTCCTTGGCTTACCTGCAGTTCTGTCTCAATGTGCATGTCTCTTACCCTGCTCTCTCTGCAAATGTGTTTTTCACACGCCCCTCTCTCTCCCCTCCCCTCCCCCACATCTCCAGCCTATGCAGGTGATGTTTTCAGGTGAGGCCACCCACCGGAAGTACTATTCCACAACCCATGGTGCTTTGCTTTCTGGCCAGAGAGAGGCGGCTCACCTGATCGAAATGTACCAAGACGTCTTGCAGGGCAGGAACTGAGAGGGCTGTCCGAAGAACCACTGACTCGTGATTCCTTTTACACTTGTGTGTTTAAACAAGTCTGCCTTCCTTCCTTGCTTCCTTCCTTGCTTCCTTCCTTCCTTCCTTCCTTCCTTCCTTCCTTCCTTCCTTCCTTCCTTCTTTAAAATGAGTAATCAAAACATTTTTATCTTTTATATCAAAGTCTTAACCATTTTAACTCTTAGTTGGTCAACTGTGGTTTCTTTTTCATGTACTGTATTGTTGGCAGGAAAGGAGGACCTTTCCCTCCTTGGGTGGAGGTTCTGTTGCTTTTGTGTACTTTGATTTCTGACTGCATCTTGGGGGCTGCTTTTCTTTCTTTCCACCCCCTCCCCCGTATTGTAAGTGCCTTCTATATTTCAATAAATGTTGTAATAACCACTTTGCTCTCGTGATGTTCGCATTCATGTCCATGGGGCTTGCGGCAGAGACCGTCCCGTGGGATGGTGCCGATTTTCCGATGCTGTGTTCCCTGGTGGCCACTGAGGATCGCTCGCCTTGTCCTCGTAGAGCACTTGATAGCTGGCAAAAATCTCGCCTGCCTTCAGGTCGCTGCGCTAGTCACTTGCGGGCCCCCAAAGTAGAACGGTCAGTCCTGGAGGAGATCAGCCTTGACTGCTCTTGAGAAGGCCAGATCCTGAAGATGGAACTCAAATACTTTGGCCACCTAATGAGAAGGAAGGACTCCCTGGAGAAGAGCCTGATGCTGGGAACGATTGATGGCAAAAGAAGGAGGGGACGGCAGAGGATGAGGTGGCTGGATGGAGTCATTGAAGCGGTTGGTGTGAGCTTGGGGGGACTCTGGGGGACGGTGGAGGACAGGAAGGCCTGGAGGAGTGTTGTCCATGGGGTCACGATGGGTCGGACACGACTTCACGACTAACAACAACAAAAGTAGAACGGAAGAAACGCTCATGAAGAACATCCCCTGTTCTCTGGGAAGCAAGTGATGCCTGAGCGCCTTGTCTGTCAGTCATCTTAGAAGTTCCCAGAATTGGTGTCCACCATGTTCAGGGTATTAATTCGTCCCACTTATAAGTCTCACTTGCATTCATAGTGAGCGTCCCCAAAAGATCTTCTCTAGCTTGGGCCGTAATCTGCGGGTCTACCGCTCCCTGTCCACTGCTCGGAGCACGTCAGGGGTGGCTTTCCAGGTCCAAGGACCCTGGGAAACCTAGGGAGCAAGCCAAGTCCTTTGCACGGTCCCCTGGAGCTTGGAAAAGGCATGTCCTGGGGCTCCTCGTAGCTGGGGCGACCCTGCGAGAATTGCGCGGAAACATACCGGGGGTTAGGAGCTTGGAGTTAATGCAGATACGGATAACCAGTTGCAAGAGGACACCCAGGTAGTAGCATTCTTAGGAAAGGCTTTCGAAAGGAAATCCTTACAGCAAGAAGTAAACCATGAGGTTGGGGAAAGCAGTTCATTTTAGACGCATTCGGGTAAGAGCCAGTATTTATACAGGGGTTAGTAGTGGAGCGTGCCAGTGGATGTCCGTGTTCCTAGCAACTGCAGGCAGTTTCCAGGGCAAAGCGAGCTGGCATCGCATGATCACACCAGGGACCAGAAAGGCAGCTGTGTGAGTGAGCGGCCCCTGAGCCAGCCTTCGGTGCGGCCCCCGGGGCCAGCGTGGCTCTGCACCCCGGAGGAGGGAGATGGTATTGCCAGCTCCTGATTGTACGCTTCCCTCGTGCTGCCCTCTCCCAGTAGCTGAGCTTGTTTACGTCCACCGTGTCGTTAAGTGCACCATTCCTCACGCTCCGGAAAAAGCTGCCTGCCCTTAGGCTCCGGGTTCATCTTTCTCCCGCTGCACTAAATTTAGCAATTGTTTATAGGCTGGTGTGTAAAATTAGACATGTTTACAGTCTGAGGAGGAGGAGCTGTGTGCCTGAAATACAGATCGACCTCAGGAAGTGCCCACCCAACCTCTCCTATTTGATACCTTCTGTCCAGGAGATGATGATAATCACACTTCGTATTTATATTCCATTTCCTGAAGTGCTTGGAACACTTGGCACAAGCACTGCCACTCTCACAACAACCTGGCAGGGTGGGCCAGTATTCTTACACCCATCTGGGAGATGTGACTTGTGAGAAAACGCCTTGTCAAGAAAGGTGCTTGATGGTGTGGATTTTAGTATTTCTCTGTACCTTTGTGTGCACAACTGGCACAACTGAGGCAGGCACCATGGCTCAGCGACACGGAACCTGGTTTGCATCCAGAAAGTCCCAGGTTCAAATCCTGGCATCTCAGGTTGGGCCAGGAAGCCCCCTGCAGAATAATCTGGAGTGTCAGCTGTCCTGGGCTGGCCTGGGTGGGCCACAGGGCGGGATCTGCCTCGAGCTTCTTCCCCAACCTGCAGCACGAGCAGGGATGCAAGGGGGGAGCCCAGACAGGATGTGCGAGTCTGGGGCAGACGGAGAAGGGGCCCTCTGACACAGTCCTATATACCTGCTGGGAAAAAGCTGCGAGTCATAGGAGCTTCCTCCTCCCAGTTTGCAGAGTTCATTCCCGAAGCAACCTCACCTCTCTGCAAAGGCCGGGTTCAGCTCGCAATGTGTGGAAAAAATCAGAAATAAGTTCCTTTGAGCATGGACAGAGTGCTTGCCTGTGGGCACTCGGCTGTGCTCCCACAGCCACCATCGGAAGGGCTGTGGCTGACCCGAGCTGGCGTCACCCAGCTGCGCGACGCCTCTTGCTTCCGAAATGAAGCCACGGAGGGTCGTGGGTGAATGGGGACGAAAGGAGGACTTTGGATAATAATTCTGAGGTTGCACTAAAAAGCCGCAGCAGGTGTGATGCCCGTGCTCACACATGCTCAAGCATTCCTCCTGTTGTGTGCAGAGTCCGGGTACCGAGCCCCCGTTGGCACGGCAAGGGTGCACTAGTGACCCTGCTGGCGCGGAGGGCGACTCTCGGAGGGAAGGGGGCCGTTGCCACGTGATCCTCATGTGGCCTGGAGCCGTGCTTCGAAAGCTCCTTGCTTGTGACCTTTCCAGGCGTGTCACAGACCGTACAGCTGGCCCTTTGTGCGCTGTTTTCCTCCGGCTAGGCACATGCATCTATTTACTTTCTGCCAATCAAGGGCAGAAGGCTCAGGATTCTGGAGAAGTGGGAGTCTTTAGGCGGTAGCACAGTGAGGCTTTTGCAAAGAACGTTTCCAGGCCTGGCTTGCAGCGGACGGAGGGTGAGCTTCAAAAGTGGCGCAAGGCTGCCATCTGGTGTGAATGAAATGAACAAAATACCGCACAGCAGCACTCGTGGGGCTTCCTCTGACTAGGGAGTGGTTTTTGGAGATGGTCGCTCTCCGGACCCCAAAGGTACAAAGCTGGGAACAAAAGCTGGAAGGCTGAGCACCAAAGAATTGAGGCCTTTGAACTGTGGTGCTGGAGGAGACTCCTGTGAGTCTCTTGGACTGCAAAGAAATCAAACCAGTCAGTCCTAGAGGAGATCAGCCCTGACTGCTCTTTAGAAGGCCAGATGCTAAAGATGAACCTCAAATACTTTGGCCACCTAATGAGAAGGAAGCACTCCCTGGAGAAGAGCCTGATGCTGGGAACGATTGATGGCAAAAGAAGAAGGGGACAGCAGAGGATGGGGTGGCTGGATGGAGTCATTGTGGCAGTGGGTGAGGGCTTGGGTGGACTCCAAGGGATGATGGAGGTCAGGAGAATCTGGAGAAATGTCCATGGGGTCATGATGGGTCAGGCATGACTTTGTGACTAAACAAACAAACAAAAACAGCAAGATGCAGACTCTCCTGGGAGGACTCACCATCCCAAAGGCCGTTGCTGTTTTTGTGACTCCAACTATGCGGCCTTGCAAAGAATGGCTTTCCTTGAAGGTTCTGCCTTCTCTGTTTGTAGCACATTATCTCCCTGGGCTCCTGGAAGTATAAGCAGTGCATGTTTAATCAGGGTTTAATTGTATGTTTTGGGTTTGAGAACTGGCTTCACACTGACAAGCACAGTCCAGAAGGGGAGGAGGAACAGCAAGACTTATTGTAATGTAATAGATCTGCCTAAATTGAAATTCTGCAGTGACCAAATGCCACCTCAGCCCCTGCACTGGTTTTCAGGTGAGGCAGGAGAGAGATTAAAAAGCCGAGGGCACAATCCTTTGGCCTCTTGAGATCATCTGGGAGGCTGCAGGATCTTTTTTGGAGCCAGCCTCCCGCCTTAGCATTCACCCTCCAAAAACGGTGTCCTTGCTCCACCCCCTTGCAGCCTCCATAGAAAGGAACATGCTGGCTGCCTCCCTGCCCCCAGGTCAGAGAAAGAGGCGCACTGGGGCAGCAGGAGAAGGAACTGGGGCTGTGGAGTTGCGGCAGTTCCAACTGGCACCCCAGCTTCCTTCTGTCCCCCTCAGTGGAGCTAAACCTAGACGGGCAAAAACAGCTGGTTAGGGAAAATTCAAGGTGCATGGTTACACAACAGTTGGTGTTTTGGGGGCAATACGATTGCCTTCTCCATGTTTTTCATGTCCCTGTCTATGGCTTTCCTGCTGCTGCTGAAATTATTCTTACACCTGGTCTTAACTTGTTTAACAGGTATTCTATTGATTATTCTATTTTTTTTAATTTGACAGTTTAAATGTGTTCTTGGAAACCTTGGGCATTTTCAATCGGGCAGTTATTTATTTTTCGATTTATATCCTGCCTTTTTCCCACAAAGGGCTCAAGGCAGCTCACATCATTCTCCTCCTCCATCTTATCCCCACAACAACAACCCTGTGAGGAAGGTTGGGCTGAGAGTCTGTGACTGGCCCAGAGTCACCCAGTTGGCTCCATGGCTGAGCGGGGACTCGAACCCAGATCTCCTGAGTCCCAGTCCCTTACTCTTCACCACGACACCACACTGGCTCTCTACAAATATACAAATACTGTGGAATCGCCCTTGAGCGTGCACTGAGATACTGGGATGAAACTTGCAAATAGGCAGGTTTGCAGCACATCTTTGGGAGTTCTGACATGCTGAATCTACTTTCACGGAGCTGGAGTGTGAGCTTGATGTAAAGAGCTTTTCCTTTCCTGCTCTTTGGCTGCACAACCTCTAGATGCCACTGAGGTGTTAGTGGAATAGCTCTGATAGGTGTGAAAAACTAGTTTTACTTTCGCTTTCTGCCTCTTTCACAAGTAAATGCTGCATTTCCCAATGCTGGAAACAGGCAGAAAAAGTTCTTTAGGAAGAGAAACTGGAAGGTGTGACATTAGCTAAAAACCCATGCTTAGCCACGAGGGGGGAAAGATGAGTCTACAATAACTACCTCATGCAGAAAAGCCCGTTATGTGAAGCCTGACATACATCATGGTCCTTAAGGAGTGGAATCAAGACCTGAATGGGCCCACTGAACCTGCCACCTCAGGGTGCCTCTCTCTCCCTTC